CCTACTTTTTACAGAGGGATAAGGGCAACTGGAAAGGTTACTTTGATTAAATAAAAGGTGAAAAAATGACCCAGAGGTTTGAAGTGCTGGATTGGCAGAATGTGACACCTGTTTTCATCCCATCAGAGTACTGGCTTCCTGAAAAGGAAAACACTTGCATAAGTCCTCAAAACATCTGAAAACCAAGGAGGAAAAGGCAAGAAAGCCCTGATGCACTGGTGGAGACCAGCCAAGTGGTGAGAAACCAAAGGACTTAAACCCGGCAAGAAGGGTCTCACCCCTGGCTCTCACCACTCCCACAGAGCAGCTGGGACTGACAGGGAAAGATCCACAGGGAGCAGAAACAACCTGCTTGGTACAGCTACTGAACAGCAGCACCTTAGGATCCTCCTGTTGTTCCCAGGGAAATCTGTGTGGAGGAGAGCAGGGCTCCCATGTAGCAGGACATCTTCAGCCCCACACCACAGGGCAGACTACTGAGAGACAGGAGTGGCACAGAGGACCCAACAGAGGGAGGAAAACCAGCAGTTACCTCCAAGGACACCTGCAAGACAGATGGAGCCTTCCATGTCTCATCTTTATCTCCACAGAAATTAGGACATGACGGGGGGGGATAGCTGGACAGCTAGAATGGAAAATCTGGTTGGATGGTTCAGCTCAGGGAGTGGTTGTTAGTGGGTCATTCTCTACCCAATGACCAGAGACAGGTGGGGCACGACAGAGGTCATGTTTACAGGCAATACCAAACTGGGGGGAATGGTCAATATCCACAAGGGCAGGACTGCCACCCAGAGGGAGCAGGACAGGCTGGAGGAACAGGCCAGCAGGACCCCCATCAAACTGAAAAGGGACAAATGCAAAATCCTGTGTCTGGGAAACAAGCAGCTTTGGCAATGACACAGACCATGGAGCAGTTCAGCAGAAAAGATCCTGGAGGTCTTGGTAGATAGCAAGCTGGGGCAGAGCCACAAGGACAGTGACTTCTGCAAGAGCAGAAGGTATTTCCTTCCCTCACACACTTAAGGTAGATCCCATCAAACCATTTCTCATCAGCTGGATGTCCAACCCCAGTGTGACACAAGAAGGCTGGTTCACATGGTCTGTCTCCAGCTCCAAGTGTGGATCATCATCCTGATGGGGTTCAGCTTGTGAAGGGCAATGATTTCATTGTCATGTGATTTGAAGGCTCAGAGAGGGATATGATCATTCCCAGGATGGGAAAGGTCTTCTCTTCTGCAATCACTCTGACAACCTGATACAAAGGGAAGGGAAAAGAGAACCCCAAAACCCTGCAGCTGAACAGCAGCTACCACTGAATACCCCCCAAACAACCACCAGAAACTACCAACAAGCTGATCTGGAGGGCTTTGAGCTATCAGCTATCCCATGTGAGAGAAAGACTGAAGTAGTGAGGGTGGGTAACCTTATCACACCCTAAAAAGCACCTCTTAAAGAACAAGACTTACAGGAAAGTCTTCACACTCCTAAGATGGAAAACATGGCCTGAACACAGGATAACAGGATTTCAGGTCCCTGGGATTCAACACAAGCCACTGGTGGGATGGAGGGCACTGACTGACTCAGCCACCCCCCATGATCCTCCCACCACTACCTGTGCACCTGCCCACAGTTTCCAGCCCTGCACCTTCATGTTGTCCAACAGGACGGTGGGATCACCACAGCAGCAGCTGCTGGTTGTCACAGTCCTGGCTTGAGGGCCTGTCCTTCCCACCACAGGCTCCTGACCCACAGCATGCTCCAGTGACCAACACTTAAGTCCAGTCCATGAGCACCTTCAGGCACATGGGGGTTTGACAGACAGTCAGTGCTTCAGCAGCACTTTGTATCTGACCAATGATGCTGCTAAAGCAGCTGGAAGGAGGAAAAAAACAAACCCAAACCCCAACATTTTCTCCATCCAGTGCATTCCAAGTATGCAACATCCTACCTGAGAAGGGATGTCTCCATCCTTCTGTGAGAAGAACATATTTGGGTAAGGCTGGGGAGCTTTGAGAAGGACTGCATTTGCACAGGGGATTATCTTAGACACTTCATGGATGAAAAGCCAGCTAAGAGCAACCAAAGAGAGATGGAGGCATGAACCTGGCTCAGCAGAACACAGAGATGCAGACTGACAGAAGCTGGGAAAATACTGTGGGAAAACCTTCACCCTAAGCCCACCCTGCTCTTGCCCTCCCCTCCAAGCCCTGCTGGAGCCACCAGGGGCTGTGGCTGCTTCTGCCCCTCTGCTCAGGCCAGGGGGGTCAGGTGCAACAGGAGGACCCCAACACAGCCAGAGGTGACACACCACCCCAGGCAAGGCACACGCCAATTTGCCTCAGGGAAGATAACCAGGCAGATTACCACTCCTAAACCCCCTGAATTACTCACTCCTATCTGGAGTCATCTAGGGCCACTGACACCAGGCTATCTGATTAACAGCAGCAATCAAATTACCAGGAGGCGTGTGCAGTGAACTGGCTGGACAGGCATAGATCAGCAGAGGCATTTACATGAGCTCCAGCAGCCACAGGACTGCAAGGGCAGCTCCCTGTCCTGGCTCAGTGCTCCTCTGCCTCCAGAACTCTGGTGGAGAAAGGCAGCCAAAGGCAGCCCCCCAACCACAGCCAAAGGCAGCCCCCCAACCACAGCCATGGCCAAGGGGAGATGAGGTGTGAGAAAGCCCCAAGCAGGAGTCTGAGAGCTGCTCTTTGAGAGCTGGGAGCTGCAAGGGGCACATGACACTGAGCAGACCCTGGTTTGGATGTGCCAACAAACAACCTGCATTACCAACCACAGTTTTCATTCTCCAGAACAAAAACTTCCAATTAGTCGCATCACTTCAAAAAGGAAAACATGAACACTCTTCTTCCCTTGTTAAGACCCACTGGGACCTGCAGGACAGGAGCACCATCAGAGCAGGAGGCACTTGCCTCCCTCCACCACCCACTGCCCCACCCCATGTCCTGCAGATGCCTAAAGCAGTAAGATTGATTGCTCTTTCTCCATCTCTTAATTCCAAAAGTTCAGCTCATCTCATAAAGAAAGCAACAGTTTCCTCTAGGAAGCCCTTCCCTGAAAATAAATATTTTCACATAAAATCAGAGCACAGTCAGATGGGAACATCCTCCATCCCCAGAGCAAGCCTCCCCAGAGAGCTGCAGTCTGAGCAAAGCAGAATTTCCCACATCAAGCCCTATCACAACCCACCTCCAGAGGGGGCAGAGAGAGGATGGTCTGAGCCAAGGGGATTCACAGAGCAGGGCTGCCCACCCCAGGCTGGGCTGGGTCACCCCTCAGCACCTGCTGTGATTGGCAAGGTCACAGGCACTCCAGCAAAGCTCTGGTGGCTCCCACCAGAGCCTGGTACCCCATGCCCCCTGGGCCACTGTGGAGGGGAGAACAAGCTATGACCAGACAAACCACCACTTGAGAGGGGAATTCATCGCATGGCAGATCTCAAGCTCCTGCATGTGACAAAACACCAGCACACCTTCAAGGATGCTCAGTTTGATCTTCAGTGCCCTTTTCCTTTCAGCATCCAGGCCACCATGTAGCACAGCTGATAAGGAACATGGCCTCAGTTGTAATAAAGAAATTACTTTTAAACAAGACTATGAGCTACACACTCACTTCCTGAACCTACCCAAGAGTTTTTAGTTCCTCACCCCACACACACCTGTAATTCAAGGTGCTTATCTCCACACAGCTGCCCCATTCCTGTATACAATGCTGGCAAGCACACACTGGGCCCTACCTACTTTTCTTAGGACAGTATGCTTAATTTGCATTAAAATATACTGAACATGTAAATGAAATACCTTCAGGCAGGACAGAACACTGTGGTTCACCACAGCTGCTGGCGAGCAGCATCTCAGCTCCCAGGCACAGGCATCAACAGGGAACTGGTGCCTTCCCAGTATAGTTAATTCCTCAGGATACATAAGGCTCTCCAGACATTCCCACCTCTTCTGCCTGGTGGCAACACTGGCTCAGCGGGACCCAGCAGGGCAGGTTTGCAGCCCATGCAGACCCTCTGTCCAGCAGTTCCCTGCCACCCCTGGGATGTGCCAGCTCTGAGGCTGCAGCCCCACCAGTACCCAGGCCCTTGTCACACAGGCTGCACGTGACATCACAAAGAGATGTGACATCATCGTGGTCACACGTGGGACTCTGTAGCCTAAAGCTGCTACAAACAGCATGGAAGGACAAGCAAGAAAAAGTATTTCTAAAGGGCTATAATTAGTGAGCTCCTCCACAGCTCCCCAAGCAGGTGTATGAGTAAGACATCAACAGACACTCTCTGCTCTCAGGGGACACCTTGAAGTTCTGTATCAGCTGGACATGGAGTCACAATACTCCTGACAGGTCCTCAGGCAATGACTGCTCCAAGAGCAGCCCAGACAGAAAGGCTGTCCCAAGTTCAAAAAGCTTTAACAAAGAAGGGTGGAGCAGACCCTGGGTGGGAAGAGCCCTCCTGCACTAACTGCAGCCACAGTCACCTCCCATGGTCTGGAAAACTCTGGAAAAAGTCACCTGCAAAATGACTCAGTTTCCCTTTTCCACCTGTGTTACCCAGAACATTTACCAGAAGGCTAGTACAGAGTTCCACTCCTTTTGTGGCTAGAGGTCCTCAAACTTGCAGTTTATTAACAGCAAGTTCAGGTGCATTAATTTCTGTGGCAACACTGTCCTTTATTTCTAAGCATTCTGCTCCTTCTCTAACATTTACTGCAACATTTCTAGAGACAGGAAGAACTTCTCTTTCCACCTCTGCTACACAAGGCCAGACAAGCCAAGCTCTTTCACTCCCCCACCATTTGATATCACCTTCCCAGCCCTTTCCACATGTACCACACGTTCTCTTTCCTCCCCCCTGCCCCAGCAATTAGGCAGGTCAGAGCAGAAGTCCTGAGTCAATGGGTTTGTCCCATGTGTGTCAGAGGGGCTGCCCTGGTGGGGCAGGAGGAGCCCTGCAGGGGCTGGGGCTGGTGCCTCACCTGGAACGCCGTCTGGCTGTTGTAGTTGCGGATCTCTTTGCTGGCCCCGCGGAAGAGGAGAACCCGAGCGCAGCTCTCCTGGGAGGGCAAGGGGAAGAAACCAGTTAGTGCTGCAGACTGGTGGCAGGGAAGCAGCAAACCGTGGGTTCCTTGTGTCCAGAAACCCTCCTTGGCAAAGGAGGATGCTCAGCCCCTACAAACTGGTTATTCCCCAACCCCAAGCTGACCAAGCCCACCCAGCTGCATGCAGGTCTGGGACACTAGGACTGTGGCTGTGCCCCAACATCACCCATGGGCACAGCTACAGGGGCCACCAAACATTCCCAGGTATTGCTGCTTCCTGAAGGCATTGACAGTTTTTGTTCCAAATGCTCTGTGCTCCTCAGAAATGCTAATCCAACCGTTTATCAGCCCTGTACTCTTTAACACCACTCTGCCCACTCACCCACCCCAGCAGCCAGGGTACAAGAGCCCCCGATGTACAGAACATTCCCACCACCCAAAAGGCCCCAAATCAGCCTCCATGTACCAACTTCTATTGCAAAACATCACAATCTTCCATTGCTGAAGTAGGGACACCTCTGAGACTGAAAACTACCCTCATACTATACAATGTATAAAATCTCTAGGAAGAAACAAAATCTACAGGAGAAATCCTTAGATACTGACCTCCACACCTCAAAAAGAGACCCATAGGTGTGCGAGACCTGAGAGGGCTCCCCCACTACCCTCAAGTTCTCCCAAGCTGAAGTTAGTGACCACACAGAAGATAAAACAGAAATGGTGCCCCATGTTGCCTGTTATCATCTTCAAAACTCGGAGATTAGTAACAAGAATTCAGGCCACTTGTGAAACGGACAAGAGCCCACTCCTCACACCTTCTTCAGAGCAGAGCAAAAGACCCCAGCTGTGCCCAACAAGCCCCGACTAGACCAAGTCTCCTCCTTAAATTAAATGTGGGCACCTGGGTCTGATTAGCACCCAGGCACACTGCTCCCTCCCAACCAGTAATGGGGAGTTGCTGAGAGGCAGAATAGGAACCAGACGGAAAATCAGGGAATGTGTTAGGCAGTAAGTCAGCAAAAACATCTTGGGAACATGTACAGACTGAACCATGGACTCCTCCCTGGCCACATGCCTCTTGAGAAACCCAAAATCAGGCTGGTGCCACAAACAGAAACAGCCTCATCCTGGGACAGAATGTGGACACAATTCAGAAGGACCTTCCCGGGTCTGGGGAACAGTAACAGCAATGAGAGGGCTCCCCAGCCCGTTGCTGTACTTGCTTTGTCTCAGGCAGGCTGGTGCCCCATTCACACCTTCTTGTTCTCACACCCCAAACCCCACAGAAGTACCTGGTTGTAGAGAGCACAGATATGAAGGGCAGTGTTTCCTGAGGCGTTCTGAGCTGTCATATCAGCGCCGTAGAAGAGCAGATGCTCCAGGTGCTGGACGTGGCCATAGCGACACGCCTGCTCCAAACACAAAACGGAAGTAAGAAAATCAAGGAGCAGCAGGAGATGATAAATCTCCTAAGGTGCTCTGCTGAATTCATCCATGCTAGAAAAAATGGATCAGGCTGGACATGTAACCTGAGAAGTCCCACGAACATGCAGGCACACACACTCTGCCCCTTGCAGCCACCTACACCTGAATCACCCCTACATCAGCTGCAGCTCTGGGATCAGCACCACACTGCTACCTGGGCCCCCTCCAGACTGTTTCCTGTCCCAGTGTAATTACCTGGTGAAAAGAAGCCCTGAAGCACAAGCAGGCACAGGGGAGGACAACAGCCCCACATCCCTAGTTCCCTGGTGTGGCATTTACCTCTACATTTGGTCCATCCTGGGACCCACAGTCCTCAAGGATCTCCCAAGGCAAGGTAGGATGGAGGCAGGCAGGCAAAACAGTCACACTCAGTAAACTGAGATCACAAACACATCTCTCTGTTCCTCATTCCCATGGCTTCATCCCTGGCTGTGCCTGTACTCATCCACCTTCAGGGGCTGAGAGTTGGGAGCTTCAGGAGGCCATGGGCCCAACAAGAACCTGTCCTCCCAATGGTCCAGCACAAGGGGACTCAAGGCAGAGCCAGCATGTCCTCACTTCTCCCAAAAGATCTGGGTCTTGAAGCACAAAGGCAGCTCAGGTCCCCTGAACTCTAGCCCATGTCTTCCCTATGACAAATTCCCTTGTCGATGTGTCAAACAGAGACAGATACAACTGTGGTTTGGAACCAGGATGCCTTGGCACTGGACAGAGATCCTAAAGCACTGTCCTAAGAGCCAGTCACCATCTGGGGAGGATCCCAGACACAAAGGCTGGAATGGAACAGCCTGAGCCTTGGCCTGGGATGGCAGTCAGAGCTGGTACTTCCCCGTGCAACTCCTCCGCAGAGGAGCCGCAGGAAGGTGGACACCCCAGGGGACAGGGCCGGCCCCT